TATTTGACTGCATTTGTTCAATTCGTAATAGTTGTATGGTCAATAGTCCATATACGCCTACGCTTTGTAAACTTCAAAACACTTGTTTTCAAAAAACCCAAGATGAAATATTTTAAAACCATCACAGATTTGATTAGCCCGCGCCGGTGGTGTAGTGGTAAGCGTGACTGCTTTCTAACACCCCGATGGGTCTGGGTTCAATCCCAGTCGAGGTCGGTGGGATTTTTCTGAGGCATAAAAATCTCTGGTCACGTCTTTCTTCGGAAGGGAAGTAAAGCCGTTGGTCCCGGCCCATGTGTGTTGAATGGGTGCGATATCCTAGGCAGGTGTGGAAGCTGCCTTCCTGCACATTCGATTGCCGTCAATGGATGGCAATCGATGTCCGTCGGTGATTGGCACTAGATTGCGGAACAGAGACCGACATTAAATAAAGGAAAGAAAAAAGAAAAAAACAGATTTGATTGTTAGGATCAATACTAACATCCTGCGAAGAAAAATCTGAGGTACATGATTGTTGCAAAAAAAAAGTGCCTTCAGACGTAGCGTGCAGCGCCGCTCTTTGTTGGACATTGTACCGGTCTATCTAACTATCAAATAACTAATCACTCAAAACTTCAACAAATGGAAAAAATTTCCCCAATAAAATATTTACTTACTCCTAATGGCTTAGGGGCAAACAACTGTTTCTTTTCATAGCTCATACGGTCCGATTGCTATGCTCTCGAGCATGAAGAAATTGGTGGTGAAAATGATCCTTCGGGGACTCGTTCACTGGGTTGAATCAGATAATTTGCTATCAAATACGCAACTTGGGTTTCGTACGAGCAAAGGAACAAATGATTGTATAGCGCTGCTTTTAATAGGTAAGGTATTCAACTGACCTTCACGCACAATAATCAACTGGATTCAGTATTCTTGGACATTAAGGGCAAATAAACTTCCAGAATTAGTTAAATTCACCAAGTCATGTCTCAATCCTCTTCTTTATAACTTGTATGTCTGAGATATCGAATATGGTTTGGAAAAAAATGAGCGATATGACTACTTGCCAATATGGTGGGGTTTTTGTAAAAGGTCCACAGGCCGTAGACTTGCATGAACCATTGCAAAGTTCCCTAGATAATCTGTCTTCTTAGGCTAGGAATCTAGAGATTTAATTCTCACCACAGAAACTTGAAGTGCTTACTCGAAGTGCCCAACTGCCGCATAATATTTGGGTAGAAACATTACCCGTGTTTCAAATACCTTGATTCAACGTGCACTTGGAATACCCATATTTCGTATTTGAAGCAAGCATGTTAACAAAGGATCATCTGTCTTCGATTAATTTGCGGCACAAGGTGGAGAGAGATTTCATAACGCTGTATAAAATAACAATTTTTTTTCTGTTGTAGAGTAAGGCAATTTCATATTTCTCCTGGAAAATAAAAGTCACTTAATAAAAATGGTACGAATTGAACATTAGTGTCTACATGCTCTAAATTGATTGATTTTAGTAGAATAAACAACCAATATACCTCATTATTATTGTTTTTCTTTTTAATTCTACTACTATTGTATCACTTGCACTATTCACTATCACTATTCACTATCACTATTCATTTTCACTATTTATTTTCACTATCACTTGAAGAAAAACTATAAAAGATACGTATTTCTTTTACTACTTGCAAACTTCTTCAGTGTCCATATAGATTACCATTTAGTACGTCAGAGTACCCTGTCGAGTAAACAAAGCGATTTCTACAAATGAAATCTTGGACGGTCCTTACATTCAATTATTCCTAATGTTTCTTTGAGAGCGTTCCATAAAAATATTACCCACGGTGTGGAAAATTGCATGAAAAATCAGTATAAAGAACATTGTCAGGGTAATGAAAATGTTTCTAATGATTTGCCCCAGATACCACTCTGAAATTTTCACCAGTGATAAATAAGAAATATTGCAAACTGAAAACAGTCATTAGAAACAATTTAATTTTTCCTCCACCGTGAAAATTTTTGAGGAAAATATTTTTTTCTGATTAGAGATAAGAGGAGCATAGTGGGTGGGGCATAATGAGCATACCAAACTTTAGTCCCAACTCTCTAATTGTTCGTAACAAATGAATCGGTAGTAGGTTCAATATCACCATTGCAATGATTAATAACCCATTAATTTATTTCGAACCATAAGAAATTCAAGACTACAGCACAGGAAGCCCACTATGCCTCACCTGTTTACTTTGCCCCTCTTTCTGCGGACATGAATGCATCGCGGAGATGTAAAATGTCCTTAATAAACAAACAAACAAACAAACCCTCTTTCTCCTATGCTTTTTATTGTTGGATTGCTGATATAAATTCCTTGTTATTCCACAACCCAACATTCTTTCAACGATGCAATGAATTTTCAAATTACAGGATGTCTGGTAAAATCTGAAAACTTCAACACAAATTTTCCGGGATTACGTCTTTCGGCAAAATGTTGGGGATGCAATTAACAAAAAAATTAAATCAATCACATTACGAAAAGTGATCAGGTTATGGCCTCTGTCAATAACGGATGGATTTTAATTCTAAACAACTCCGATTGGTAGTTTTTCTACGAATATGTTAAAATGAAAACTTTATTAATTTTCAATAGCTCACTATTGAAAGTTACATAAATGTCCAACTGTTGCAATGATCAAAACTATCACCGATTGCCTGCAAAAAGCGCTTTTCCTAACACATATTTCGAAATCGAATTCCATCATTGTTCACCAATACACAACGAAAGGCTGCCCGCAAGCAGCGAGCTGCAGCACACATGAGCATCCATTCACCAAAGAAGGAGGAAGAAGCTGCTGATCGAATTCAGCAGTGTTCGAAATCAAAAACTCAAATCTCATGTGTGAATTTATTCGCCTATGAGTTTTGTCTTGCAAAAATCATCGATGAGTTTTCAGGTTTAAAAATTCATTGCTTTTTATTTTGGCATTAATCATTGTTATTTCTGTTGATTTTTCATCTGTGGATGGAAACTTAACACAACATGCATAAGCATACTATCAATTGTCGTTTGATCGGCTTTTATGAGTTTTAAGTTGAAATGTTTTTTTTTTTGCGTTTTGAGTATGAGTGCGTGAAAATGCATGAGAATCTCAAGGGTGAGATTTGTTTGCCAGATTCGTACTCGTACTACTTTCAGGGAAGTTGAATGCATGAGATTTGAGAATGATTTTTCGAACACTGGAATCCAGTAGCTCTTCGTGAGTCGCTGTGGGCCATTTCTGCCAGCCACATCAGCCCCGAAGCTCTTTGGTAATGAACCCAGTCAAAAGCGTTACAGTATTGAAGTTGTACATAAAATTCTCGCGATGACCGAATACCACATGACCTTGTCAATTAACCAGAAACACTTCGAATTATGGTAAAGTTTTCTCTAAGAGGCTAGAAAAAAGCAAAACAATCTTGAATTTATATGATTGATCGCAAATATCTCACGATTGGAGAACTTTTGCACTCTATCCAATCGATTTTTGCTTTTTTTTTATTATCAATTGAATAAACCAAAAATTTCGTGCCTTTTGTACACGGGAATGTGTAATTTTTTCATCAGAAAACGAAACGTTTCCGTGATGGGAAAAAGTGATTTCCCTAATACAGTCGCCGAATATTGATACTGAGCACGGTGTCTTGGATACAACCTCTTACTTTTTTATCATATAGTCCATATGATATATTCAGCTGCAGGTGTGGCCAATATCATCCTGTTATGTTATGTTATGTAATGAGATGAAATTATGCAATTCCGAAGGATTTCAGCTCGCTTTGGGTCATTATTTGTCTCGAGACACGTACTCACGGATCTTATTCCAACCATATCTCCGAAACCAGTGGACGGATCCCACGAATATTCTATTAAATTCTTTGGAGGTTTTGTACTTTTTGTACATTTGTAACTATGTTATTGACAGTATTTTTTCAACTTAATTTCCCTGTTTTGTTCATTTCTCCGGAGCCAAACATCCGATCGAGTTTAAATTTTATAAGGGTCCAATGATATTTCGTTCAGGAACAAAATTTAACCGGTTGCTTTCGAATCATCTGTAATGTGACATTTATATGTTTATGTCTCCGGAACCAAATGTTCGATCGAGATAAAAATTCATTTGCAATCTTTGATAGTCAAAAACATACAAAATTAAAAAGAACTTTAATTGGTTCAGCAATCTCTGAGAATGAAAAGTTATTAGCATATTTTTATTGCAAAATTTCACGTTTTTGTTCATATCTCCGTAACCAAATGTCAAAACTGAATATTTCGATCTCGTCAAGCTACGTATAAGATACTTGACCATCCGTGCCTTACATCAAACGTTTGTTTTTCAAATGACGCCTAGAGAAAAGTTATCAAAAATTGTCAATCATAGTAAATTAGATAATTTATTACAAACTGTTAATGTCAAAATGTGTACCAAGAGTCGCGAAACAATACAATCAAGTTGAATAGTACATTTTATATTAACTTAGGCCAATAGGTGAATTAATCTGAAAATAACATTTTTTCCTGGTCGTAGATGTCGTTTGTCGAATGCTGTGTACTTGGACTGGTAGTATAGAGCTGGGCTGTGTTATGTGATTTTAACATTCAACTCTTTTTCCCTCACCCCTGTATGCTTCGCCTTTCGATCTTGTTGGTTTCAAGCCACTGCATGTTACGTGCTTACCTTTAGCTCAATACTCGGTTACCATTCACTTGTATAAGTCAACACAGCGCTGGTTTTTGTTCACCGTCCAGACACGATGGAGTTAATTACAACACAAGCAAAGACTAGATGAAAAACTTGTTTCGACCATCGAATACCGCCCAGATATACATGTGGACACCAACACTAGCAATGTTTGTTGGGGAGTCAAGTAGAGCCCCATCACTGTATACTGCTTAACATGTTGTAATCAATATCTAACCATGATCACAGATTGCATGTGCTGCCATCTCTACTTGAAATGGGATTCGTTGGTGTTTTACTTACCTAGTCTTGAATCACTCCGCCTTTTCACGCGGAGTTTTATCATACATGATTGAATGCACTGTAAGTGTTAAAATAAGGAAAACTGTTAATGAAATTAATAGATAGAAAGGACGTTGATGCAACTTGCCTCATGTATGTGTTTTATCACCTCTGCCCGAGGAGAGTCCTCCAGCTTCCGTTCATTAACGTCCAAAATCTCATCCGCAACTTCAAGGTTATCCTTATCCGCTGGACTACCGTATAGTTTGATTTTTCCATCGCGACTTTCCACTAAAATTATCACGTACCCGTTTAACTCGACAACTTGCTGAAATGAGTAAAATATAAAGTTTTTGGTAAATTCAAAGCGTAAATGTAGATATACTTTTTTTTTCATGTTATGTAATTTAAATCATGAAAATAACAAGTCAAGTTCAAGTTAACTTTGGCATATTAACAATTGACATTTTTAAATGATAACTCAATAACGTTTCTTTGGATATAAATACAGCGGTACACTACGTCGACACATGAGACCCATTTCTGTCATACGCGTCAAAAACAATTAAGACAGTTCTTTGTTCACGAGTTAAATTACGAATGATGTACAAACAATTGTACGGGGCTGTTGGATGACTGATGTAACGAGGGTGTGTCGAAGTGAAGTGGGTATGCCGAAATGGTGCCACACCCTATAGAATGGAAGGGAGGTACACTCAATTCTGTTTTAAACGACTTTTTTCCCCCATAGTTTTGATCGCAACCAAATTAAATGCAACTGCTTTCAAAATCAAAAAAAAAAATCGCAGAAAAATATGGTAGTACTGAAATTTCTGCATCGATCCTAAATGAGGATTGAACCGAAAATAAACAAAAAGCGCATAACAATAGAATTGAGCTCCAAATTTCAAAATGCTTTCCAATATGTCCGGTTATTTTTTTTTCTGTTGTGAAGTTGGAAACATTTTTGATGTTTTGAAACCAGTTTTAGCTATAGTTTCAGGAAGAATAATACAACTGCACACAAAAAAAACAATCGGGTGTATAATATTTTACTATGTTACTTATTTTATTGTAAACAAATTTCTAACAAACACAAAAGTTTTAGGAAACCAAGTATTCATAGTAAAAATATACACAAATAAACAAAAAAAGTTATTTTTGGGTGAATACTCCAAAAAAATGTAAAAAGTGTTGTATTTTTTGTAGTACTTCAATGTTTATGTCCAATCGGGTGAGTGGAATTCTTCCAAATGGATAATAACTGTCTTATGTCGCATTTGAATTCGCATTAATTAAGTTTAACACAGGCGTAGGGGGAGGATGTGCCACTGCCAATGACCCCCTCCTATAACTTAACAACAAATTACTTTTTTTGTAAGTTCAAACATGTGCAAGCTTCAACTCCAAATATTAATAGGCTCATATTTTTTTTATTATTCAAGGTATCCGAACCTCAACATTTGCTTGAGTTGCAGACACATGATTAGGCTGATTTGGTCATTAGATTCAATTGCTGGATAGTGAGGATTGATGTATGATGTTTTTGGAATCCTTGATTTATAAAAAACATTATTTCAATGAAAGCATTTCGATATCGCGGACAGAAAAAAACTTAATAGGGTAGAGAACTACTTTGGCTTAATCACCCATTTTGGGCCTAAAGAAGAATTCCAAATAAAATGATGAGCAACTGAAGAAAGCATTTCTTAATAATTCTGCGAAGAATTGTAGGGGTATTTTGTCTTTCTTTTCTTTTTCCTTTATTAGAGAGACTTAAGGGGTATTTTGAAAACAATTTATAAAAATTGTTTCTTGAGAATTTGCAGAATTTTCTGAGATCATGCCCAAGGCAATTCTTAGAAGAATTTCAAAGGAATTTGGGACAATACGTATAGCTTGAGAGCATGTCCAAGGGAATTCTGAGGAGAATTCTAAAGAAATTTGAAGCAATACTGAAAGCTAAGTAGAATGTTTCGGCCTTTTTTGAATTTTTTAAAGAAAGTTCAGAAATTCAGACCAAATCCAAAACTCAATTCTGAAGTGAATTGCAAGTGAATCTTTTAAGAGTATTTCTGAATAGTTTGCCATGAGAATTTTATAGAGAAATCAAAATTATCTAGGTAAACTTAATTGAATTTTTGTGAGAATAAATAAGAATATCAGTTTAAAATTTGTTCCAAGAGATAAACTTTGCTTAGTAGAGTACTTAGCTCGCCGACAAGCCTCTATTACTTACTCATGATGCTACTCTTAAACAAGATAGGGGAAATGTATGTAATGTCGGCCTAAGTGTCCCTAATTTCAGCCCATACATAAATTCAGCAATCGACTAAATTTTCAACAGCAACCAAAAATATCCATAAGTACCGTCCCAAAGACGCGTTCATCTAGATAAAATTGATAAATAGCAGATTTTTAGCTATGGGCCCAATCTTAGATCCATAGGCCAACATTAGAGCCATTTCCGATATATGGTGAAGTGGAATTAAAATTACAACATTTAATTTTTAGATTACTGCTACTTTATCCCGAGTTGTGTAAATAATTTATCGATAATATATTTTTTACTTTGGATCTTTTAAAAATATCAAGTCTCTGAGTCTTCAAAGTCCTGGATATAGGAAATTTATCAAATTCTATGGTCTCATCAAAAGTTCTAAAATCTTGAAAATTATTTTCAGTTCGGTAATGCAAATATTTTTAAGTTTAGTATATTTTTTTTTTAATCCAAGATCGTTAAATCCAATTTTTCAATATTTTTAAAATGATTCATATTCTGAGATTATGAATTTTTTTCTTATTTTGATTTTTTTTTCTAATAAAATAAAAATATAATTTTTATCATTTTTTTAAAGTTTCAGAATCTGATCACTGTAATGCAGAACTCAAGATACCCGATGAATTCTTCATTCTTAAAATTTTTGATAGGTACATCATCAATTAAAAAGATTTCTTGAAATCTTCAGATCAGATCGTCAGTATAAAATTGAAGTACTAACATATTTAATTTGCGACTTCCCAGTTTTACCATTGTTGTGGAACAATTTTAATTCATGATTTTTTTAAACTCAATGGCAACTTGAAATTATCACAGTAGAAAGCTCGCATTAACTTCTACTTGCAGAAAAAAAAACCACATCAATCTGTCGTTTGGTGTTAGAGATAGATCGATTTCCACGTTTTACTAGAGTCGGAAACATCAACTTTCGAGAAAAAAAAACCTTTGACAGAAATCATAAAAATATTCACAAATATGAAACTTTGCATATTATAAACGGTCCAGAATTTTGTTCGCAGTCCAAAATGTTGAAAAATATCTAAAATAAAATGTTTATAAACCATTATTAAAAATCATAGTAGCGCCGTTGATGTTCTGAGGCATAAAATCTCTTATCACGTTTTCCTTCGGAAGGGAAGTAAATCCGTTGGTCCCCGCTTCATGAGTTGATGGGTCGATAGGTAGGGTCCAGGTGTGGGAGCTGCCTTCCTGGAACGTCGGTAGCATTGGTGCTCAGCATGGAAAACAAGATCGACGGAAAACAAATCAAGGGAAAAATCATAGTACAAAATCATCCAACTTTTCCAAAGCATAAAACTAAAATTTTATTAAATGCGAGGTCTTTAAAAAGTTCAACTTCGGATCTTGTCATTATTTTCCTTTTCCAAAAATCTCACAAATTCATTGAAGTTCAAATATATCGAAAACATGTTTAGGTTATAGTAATTAGTAAAATTATGTCATTACAGAGTTTAATAGAATTCACATAATGCTTAATTCTAAATCATTCATACGAGTTTGCAATGTTTTACAAATAATTAGACAATTATAAAGTGATCATTGAATGAGAAAGCATAAAAATCGATATTCTAGGGCACTTATGCAGAAATAAAACTCTGCGGTAATTCTGGGATGATTCTAAGGTTTTTTTTTTAAATTCAAATGGTATCCTATGAAGGGTTCTACGGGAAATAATAAGAAAAATTAGACACAGAAAATATTTCATGAAGTGAAGTTACTAAACTTCTTTTAATGAGCTTTTCTAAATATCGATGAATTTCCCCGTAGCTTATAATTCTCACAGAACGAAAAAAAAAAACATCATCCAGGATTGAGAAAAAACTCAGGGATCTGAAACAACTTCAAGCTTGATGCCATGATCTAAATTTTATAAATTTACTAGCGTCAAGGATTAAATGTCTGCAGTTAATTACATATTCAGGCTGCCCAGTGATCCGGGAAAATTAAATTAATTCCTAGGGAGCTATTAAACACCCCAACTGAAAATGCTGGAAAGTTAACTCCTTCTTTTAACATGGAGTAACACACTCACTAAGAGTTAACTACTTCCTAGACATGTGCGCCGCCGCATCACACCCTCACTACCTGTATCTTTTTACTTTACGCCGTTGCGAATTTTTGATACATCGATGATGTAAATATTTGCCAAGCACCAAAAGGCTAGGGGTATGCAATAGCCTTTTACTCCGAAGCAGGCAAGAGCTTACTTAAATTAAATCAATTAATTACAGCTTTTACAACTTTAATTGTACCCTGCCAACTGTTCACTACTATTTAAGTCCATTAATTGCAGTCTTAATTAAATGTTTAGTACTTTTAATTACATTAAGTACGGTAACATAATTTTCATTACTATCACTACCCATAAAAGCATAACAGTCCCATACAGATTATTGTCATAAATTAGTTATCCATTAGAATAGATTATAAATTATCGGGATTAAACACTGTGTAATATAGCTTACATTTTTTTTAAAGAAAACATCGTGAAAAATACCAAAACTAAGATGCCCTATCTGTAAGATACTACGGAGGAATAATTTCAAGACCAAAAAGGCCATTTCATTAACTCCGTTTTGTAAACAAACCTTGTAAGGCCATTTTCTCGCGAACCGAAACCTTCATTCGCAAAACTAAACCACAATCGGGTAGAGGAGAATTTCTCCTACCTGTTCATTATGTTGGTTTGCCTTTGCGGACTTTGGTTCGCGAGAAAATGGACTTACAAGGTTTGTTTACAAAATAGAGTTAAGGACATTTCAATTGTTGGTCTTGATTTATCAACACTGTTTTTCTCGGGTTGCTGTTTTTCCAGATGGGATCGATAAACTTACTACTTTAAATTGCATGAATTCCTTTAAGTACTATTGCGTGTTCCTTTGCCGAATAGTATCTTTATCATTGAGTCGATGTTTAGAATTTGGTTAGAGTCTTGCTTGAGCCAATTTAAAAACAAAATATTTCGTTATGAACCTTAACACTTCAAGTGACACCTCAAATCTTGTGAGAATTCCACATTAATCAATCAATCTTAGTTATATCGAGCACTCAGGACCATATGTGGATATGTTCAAAGTTCGCCCAATGAAGTGTCCAGTCTTAAAAAAAACTCCATCTTACAACAAATCAAATCACAAAGAAACTAAGGACATTGCAGAAGAATTATTTTTGGTTTTATTATGATTTGTAAGAGGTTTATAAGAAGAGTTTTTGAGTGAATTGGTCTCACACGGACATGTGTTATGTATCTCTACGAGCGCTTAATGTAGCTGGACTACTAATATGCAGATGTATGCCAATAACGTCAATAATGTCATATTTATGCACTAAATATCGTGCTGTAAAAACCACCTTAGGAAATTCTTCAGATATGCACTACTTGGAAACGCTGCGATGGCGTTTTTGGTAACAACTCCTTAAAATTGCGATTTTGTAATAAATCACACTTATTATTTAAATATTTTCATTTCATCTAGGAGATATGGATGTAATGTCGACCTAAATGCCCCTAATTTGGGCCCATACATTAATTCAGCAATCGACTAAATTTTCAATAGCTACCAAAAATATCCATTAGTACCGTCCCAATGACGTGTTCATCTAGATACAATTGATAGATAGCAGATTTTTAGCAGTGTGCCCAATCTTAGATCCATATGCCAACATTAGATCCATTTCCCCTGCGTTATATTAGTTCAAAATAAAGTTTCAAATTAAATATTTTTCACCATAGTGATAAGTGCTGAGATTTGTCATAGTCACTGACAGACTTTCGTGCGATATTGATAAAATTAGTTTTCACATTGTCACTGACAGATTTGATCCTCAAAAAAACCTTCGTCAAAATCTCTTTCACATTATTGTTGTCCAAGCAGTTCAGGACGTAGATGCTTGTTCACATTAACGGCTCCATGTAATTGTGTTGCTCAAGTCATTTAATTTCGTTACAAATTTAGTTAATAAAAAAAACCTTCACATGTTCGTCTTTGATAGCATTGTTATTGACAATTGACAACGTTTGCCTTGACGATGACTGGTAGCCCAAATGAGTGACGCCGATGCACGCTACTGCCGCCAATCAAAGTCATCCGCGTCATGCCACGATGCCCCCACCGCCGAGGCAAACATGGGTTCTATACCGCTCCCTCCACCGATGAAATGACGCACAGGTCGACATGAGCTACTGATCACTCCAAATTAAAGTGCTCGGAAGTTCTTTCGACATTTTGTCCATTCAACCTTTCAAATTTTAAACTTTTGTCCTATTAAATTCCATTCTTTTGTCCATTTGACCTTTTGATCATTTCAACCTTTCGTTCATTCGACCTTTTGTCCATTCAACCTTTTGTCAATTCGACCTTTCGTCCATTCAACCTTTTGTCAATTTTAACCTTTTGTTCATCGATCTTTTGTCCTTCGACCTTTTTTTTGACCTTTTGCCAAAAAATTTCCTTTGGCGCTACAATGTCAAACTGCAAACCCTCAATAAGCCGGAAATAATGTCGGTACTTTCAAAGAAATTGAGAGAATAAGTCCACACATCCAAGCACTTTTAGTAGTTGATTATCAATCCAATCCAATATTTTTTGAACGATTTAGATGAAACAAATTCCAATAGATCAGGAAATGGTTTTAGTTTCTATTTTTTGAACAGTTGAGTTTTTAAAATATTTAAAAAAATGCGTTGTGTCAAACTCGTTTTATTATTTTTAAATCGATTTGACCCCAAAAAAATATTTCAGATTTAATTAAAAAAAAAAATAAACACTCAATCTAAACCTAGACGCAATTAACGATCGATTGAAACCAGTTTCATCGAAATCGGTCACGACGAAATGGGAATAATAACTGATAGTTTAGGCGAAAAGCGAGCTTATTCAGGAAAAAAATATGCGGAGCAGAGCTGGTAAATATCACGGCCGTCATGTGAGAATGATAAAACAGGTCCTCTCACTATCACGAGACGAAACTAACTTTCTTGTCATTTTCCAATGATCAAGCACTCATGAGAATAATTCTATTGCGGTTTTAACATCTACATTTCTAACTGATTTAGATTAATTCAAGAAAGTAACCTATGTAATCGGTAGAGTGAATATATTATTACGATTTTCTCGGTACAAATAACTTTAAAAGCAATAAATGAACTAGTAATTACAATGATCACAACACTGTCACGTTTTGTCATGACGAAAAATTCGATGAGATTTTGAAGAAAATCTCTATCATCTTTTTCTCATCCGATGATAGTGACAGAAGTATCTCTGTAAATATCGCGTGAGATCTTTCATTGAAAATGACATTTGCCAGTCCTGTTTTGGGAGCAAAAAAATGCTTACTCAGCCTTTAATCAGCTCAAATTATTTATTAGGAAACTTGGGTACGCAAAGCTTAATCATGGACCGTATGAATTAACGAACCGTCCGGTGTTCGGTACATTACGTTTGCATTTCTGTAGCATAATTTTACTTAGGTGTAAAATTCATAAATTCGTATGGTTTGTATCTACTTGCTGCATTTTTCGTTTATGACCACCGTTCAGTAACCTTTTTTGTGGTAGCAGTGCTGTTATCAGTAAAAATATCGTCTTACTATAAATATGCGTGCACCGTATGAGCAGCATCATCAAGCTACATGTTAGTCGTTTCTGTGGATCCGTGCAAACCAGTTTTGAATCAGTAATCCAGCTTGCTTTTTTTTCTTGTTTTTGTTTTGAATCGGTGGATCAGTTTGTTTAGAAATGGTACAGTTATAATTAGGAAGTTCATGTTTAATTGAAATATCCTAATACAAAATAATTATGTCTTCATTACGCTAGGCTCCCACTCATCCTATATTCATCAGCGAAGACGAGCTGAAACAGTTCACTAACTGGAAGGAAATATTACACGCACTTGAGCAAGCATTCTTGTCTGTATCCAATACAGACAAATCGACTGGACATCCATATAGCTCGCAACCGGCGCGTACATTTGTCAGAGCCGGAGAAGGTAAGCATAGAAAACGAAATTCCTAATCGAATAAAGCTGAAGGCTGCACTTTATCTATTGAAATGTTTCACAAAGCCTACAGCCTACATTTGATCAAGGCATTTCAATTTGAAATGGATATTAATCTTGGAAGTTGGAATTCTTGTCATTTGCCTCATAACTCTAGGATCATGAATGTTTTTCTATTAATCACAAAATAAATTAATTTTTAAAGTGCTTCAACTTTGAGGATATATATGAGAACCTTTTCGAATAGGAAATCTACTTGCGTTCCTTGGGAATGTCACTGCCATCACTGCAATATACGATTATAGTTTTTTTTATAGTGGGTTCATGACTACGTGGAAATTCTCAAATAGCACTATCTTGGGGTCAGACTCTTAGTTCTAGTTTGGACTGACGTGCATTGTTTAAAACTATTTCATAGATTTTTTATCATTTTAGGATTGCTTCTTTGTATGCCAGGATTTGTCGGAAATCACAGTATTTTCAAGACCAATCAAAGCTCATCGAGTACTTCGACTTTAGCATGTAAGCTTATAACTAGTTTCGGCGACAATCCTCAACGAAATCCACCACTGCAAGATATCAATGGGAATATATTCCTCTTCGATAGCGCAACTGGAAAGTTGCAGGCTACACTGGAAGCTAACTATCTCACCGGGCTGAGAACAGCTGCAGCTTCGATCGTTGCTACTGAAAAAGTGTTCTTCTCCAGAATAGCTGATAAGTCAAAACTGGTTTTGGGCATTATCGGTACAGGAACACAGGTAACTATCCTTGAAATGATAACATATCACCTCAGTTGGTTATTCCCAATTTCATCATAGGGCGAGTTCCACGCGATTGGATTCCTGAACACCCATAAGTTTGTTGAAATTAAGTTGTGGAATCGAACGAAAACTCGCAGCGAGCTGCTGAAGTCTAAACTAGTTAATATAACTCCAACTACCATGAACCCCAATGTAGTTGTCACAGTACATGATTCAGTTGAGGAGTGTTGTAAGGATTGTGACGTGATTGTAACAGCGACTAGTACATCTACACCCTTAATTTTTGAACGGTTCCTGAAGCCAAATGTACACATCAACGGTACTTATATGTTCGGGTTTAAAATTATCTTAACATTGAGTTTTCACATTATCTTTTAATGTTTTCAGCTGTTGGAGCAGGACGTTCTCATCATGCTGAGCTTGCCCAGGAAGTTTACGATCAATGCAGTGTTTACATCGACTACTGGACTGGAGCAAAGGTTGAATTGGCGACGTTGAAAGCAAATATAGTAGGTGAAATTGGAGAGGTTCTGCTGGGAACAAAACATGTTCCGGCCAGTGGTATAACCGTTTTCCAATCCATTGGCATGGCCACAGAGGATGTTACAGTTGGTAGACTATTTTTTGAAAAGTATCAGCAAAAGAATGTCGCTCAGTCTAACGTATTGCCGATGAAGGACTAAACTCCGCAATTTGCTAATGATTTATGGATGACTCAAATTACATGGTGACAACACCCTTAAAATAAAATTAATTTATCAAATTGTTATGGTGGTGCTCAAGACTCTTTCTCAAAACATAATCACATTCAAATGTACGCTGGATTGGGTGTCCTATTGAAGATCTATTCTATTGAAATCTAATCCGCTGGGTAAACATGTCAAGATTAGGTATAAAAATGAAGCGTGTAGTGCTCAATTTTGGCTAAACGATGCTCTGAAAAATGATGCATCCTCATGCAAAGAATTAACTCTCAATGATTTCAGTAACACACCTGACGATAATAGGTAAAGATATTGCCGAACCGGAATTTCCCCTATAAGGGAAAAACCTCTAATGTTGGCCTATGGATCTTTAGATTGGTATTTTTTGGCCGATAAAATTCTTCTGTTCTTCAATTTTTGTCAGAACAGTTCATCATCTCCAAAATGTGAGCGGTTACTACTTATGGCTACTTATGAAATACTGATCAAAAATGCTTCATTTAGGAATTGAGGCATAGGCCCTATATTAGGGATCCTTTGGCCAATATTGGGGACATCCACTCTACTACTTCTGCACTGTACATAATTCAGGCAAAATTTTGTTTTTCTAGTCAGAAAATTTCCATTCGATTCGAATAGACTGCAATTCTTCCGATAGCAATGTGTTAAAACTGATTCGAATCGAACGAAAATGCTTAGATAAGAAGTAAATAACAGATTGTGCTCAATGATGAGGTCATCTAATTATAATCTTTGCCTCAAACCACTAGCATAGCCATGGTGGTATGACGGTTCACTTGGTCAATCCCTGTCAGAAGAAACTTTTAGATCGAGTCTGGAAAAACCAGCATTAACTTCCAAGTGAAGTTGCAGGACTCTTCCAGTGGAAGTCGTAAACAAATGAGCAGTTCCACACAGATTCGCAAATCGTTTCGGATCGACCTTTTACAATTATGATGAAACTTTGCACAGTTGTTTGTTATTGCCCAACATGCCAAAAGAGAGAAAATTGCTCAAATTATGCGACAAGTACCTCGAAAATAACAACTTTGGGCAATTGAAGCATCAGGAGCTTTTTTGTTGTAAATTTAATGTGTTTTAATATTAACACTATTTCAAAGATATTCGATAACTGTTGGTAGTATTTTGGAAAATACTTATTATTTAAATAATTCATAACTTTTTTGTTTAGTAGGTATTACTTTACCTAAACTAAAAAATAATTTAAAAAAAATAAGCAATTTGAGTAATTTTAATTTTTTTTTTGATAATTTTGATTTTTTTTTTATTATTATTTTTTACAGTGTATATTTTTTTCTTGAAAGGCACAATACTTGTCCGCAACTTCTTCTAAGACACCATCTCTCTCGCAAGATATATGTTTTTCTATTGATGCGTATCATTTTTGCATAAGCCCTTTTCAAGTGTTAGTCGTGTACAAAACTAGGGAACTATATATGTAAAATGACATGTTGGACAATACAAAACAACTGTGCAAAGTTTCAACATAATCGTAGAAGGTCGATCAAAAAATTTAAACAAAAATCGTCATTTGAAATGGAACTGCGGAAATATCCTAATATAACTGGAAAAAGCTTATGCAGAAGTTGAGGTAAACATTCCAAGAAATCTTGAATATGTTTCCAGGAGTGGCCTTAGGATTATTTTATGGGAATATTGAAAATAAACTATCAGGATAAGTTGGAAGTATCTTCCGGAGAAAGTTTAAAAAAAAACTTCCGAGGACTGTATAAAGAATCTTTCAAAGGAAATAAGAATTTTAAAATTTTTGTTTAAATAAATTTCTACTATTTCAAGAATCTCAAAAAAAAAACTATCTACGTAGTTAATGGACAGCCCCTTTATTGATAGTTCATCACAGAGTTAATTTTCTCTCCATATATGAGCTGATTTTCTGTGCATAACTAGTTTATGGTTGACACTAATCACATACAAAAAATAAGGAAGGACAGCACGTATGTATATTACATACTTTTATACTGTTTCCGCTCTAAACCGAAATAGCTTCTATATAATTTGGTTCAATTGATCAATTCTATACTTTCATCTCCTCATCTATTGTATAAAATGTTCACTTTAAGTCTGATATTGACGTTAAGCATCTCCAACTATGTAATCGTTAACTTCACGCATGAAGTAATAAAAAACATAATTAGTAAAAGTATATGCAATATGGGTATTTTGATACATATGAAGAATGCGTCTTGTCGTCAAAAATCGAGGTCTACCGCCATTTTGAAATCCAAGATGGCGAACCGAAATTCATGATAGTGGTCTTTTCATGACGATTTATCATCTGAATCCATGCAATATGTGTATTATTGATATTAAGAAGGCGACCTCTAGACACTTTTCTCATACCAAAAATACCCATATTGCATGGTTTCAGAAGAAAAATAGTCATGAGCAAACCACTATCTGCTCGTGTATATCTCCTTTATTTAATTATCAGATTGTTTAATCCAGTGCATATATTTATATGAAATTTCAGCTATCTGCATAAACGGAATTGTCAACAAGATTCTTCAGGGAACACGTTGACGACTATTTTAAAAAATCTAAAAATAAAAACAAAATCAGAATCAATAATATTTTCTTAGCTTCATATTTCCCTGTTTTACCGTAATTATAAACACAGTAATAATAAAGCACGCTAGCTGTTATTTCAGTAAACATCCAATTGCTGGATCATTTTCAGCAAACCAATTTGCTGTATTTTTGTGTGTATGGCTAAAAGCTGGAGTATCCCTACGGAAAAAGGAACAACTGATACTAAAACTGACACTGGAGCCAGCGTTGCCAAATTGTTTTCAAGTTTATCGGCATCAAAGGTTTTAAAAAATCGGTATTTATCGTTGTTTACTATTTTAAATAATTTTATATTTGTGCCGTTTTCGAAGGTGAACATTTAAACTTTTGGATTAAGAACGGCCTTTCCAGAAATGTCGGAATAAATTTCCGGAAAATGCTTGAATTAGCTTTTGAAGAAAATAGAAAAAAAAAACTTCCTGAAAGAAAAGATAAATAAAGTTTGAAGAAGATAGCGGCACCGATGGTGTAGTGGTAAGCGTGATTACCTCTCACGCCAGCAGGCCTGGGTTCAATCCCAGTCGACGCCGCCGGGATGTTCTGAGGCATAACATCTTCTCTGATCACGTCTTCCTTCGGAAGGAAAGTAAAGCCGTTGGTCCCCGGTTCATGAGTTGATGGGTTGATAGGTAGGGTCCAGGTGTGGGAGCTGCCTCCCTGGCGTCGGTAACATTGGTGCTCAGCACGGAAAACAAGATCGATCAAAAACAAATCAAGGAAAAAAAAACGATCATTGCTTGTTTAAAATTATTAAGCTTTTAAAGCTTCCCAAATCGAGATCCTAATCGTTGTTATGAAATAAATATAATCAAATTTATTGTTTCATCATTAAAATAATAGCAAGCCTCAATGTCGTATTATTGGTCACAGAAAAATTTACCCCATAGCAAGTTGTCTTGATGCAATAACATCTTCGCGAGTTTTTATTTAACCGTAGTTTATCAAAATAAAATAAAAATATGCAGTGGGCCCCCTAGGCCCCTCCGGATAATTTTTTTTAGCTACGCCAATGATCATTTTTGGATGCATAAAACGTAAAAAAAATTAATCAAAATAGTTAGTTCCTTTACGTAGGGGAAATTGATGTAATGTCGGCCTAAATGCCCCTAATTTGCACCCATACCAGATTTTTAGCGATGGGCCCAATCTTAGATCCATTGGCCAACATTAGAGCCATTTGTCCTATCTGCTGATTCTTCGTATTTATTGCTCCCATTTTGACTGTTCTTGTGATTCTCATGAAACAGGTTCCAGTCAAGCAGGAATTCATTCTACTTTTTAGATATGTTTTCATATCAAAAGATAATTCATTTGTATAACGGGCAGTGTAATGGGTGGGGTGGTCAAATCTGTATTCTCATATCTGTCAATAACTCCGACAATTTCCTATTTCATTCGAAAAACTCGAAACTACCATACAAATAGAATTCGATACAGCAACAGCTGAATACCATGAAGAGCGACCATACTAACCTTTCCTGATGACGACGAGGCCTGCGGACCTGCAAGAGCTGTCCTTTGTTGCATCCTTAGCAAGCCGTGTCACCGTTTCACCTCATAGGTATGAACCTTCTATTGATTTTTCCCTCCTTACATAAACACTTTCACTCCCCCCTACAACAATAATGCACACTAGGGATAAGCCATCGTTATATCTGCTGAATCTGAAACGGGCGAATATGTGACACATGAAAAACACACTCGGGAGCTCTGATTTCTTATCACAAAATGTGGGGTATCAATTTCATCGTACAAATTTCACACTCTGGCATTTGACAAAAATATCAGCACTTTCGGAATACACCCACGGTTAGAGATATTCGAGCACGGTACACAGCATCCGTCAAATTCATCAGGAGCTTATCTTCATTTTCACAAGGGAGTATGCCAAATAATGGGGGCGACTTTTCTTCTTCGCTCTTTGGTGCAATATTTTTCTAGAGCAGCCTTTTTTCTTTACACACCACCAACAATCACTGATTTTAAGGAACTTTTTCGATTGAAATTAAGGTAGCTATCAAACGCGTTTTCGGCGAAAATCGATCACGACCGCGACGGCAAGCGAATTATCTCCAGCCAACTACTATTCGATTGTGATTCAGACTGCACAGACCGTTGATAGATTGCTTTTTTCCATCACCGTCGTTCCGTTTGCTAGGAAAATTCGTGACGACGTTCCCTAAAAGCTTTCCAGATCAATACTCTGTACTCTCAGATGGACCATTACGTACACAGAGCACTTGATAAAAGGATGCTATTAGAAGCAGCAGACACCGAAGCGTGTGTGGATGTAGCAGCACAATCCAGGCCTTAGAAACCGAGAGAATCCGCTCGGATAGCCGTTCGCTCTCTTTCTCCCCGGTTTGGAGGATATGTTTATCCTTTTGCGAACGGCGAGTCCTTTTTCACGAAGCATATCTCTCGTTATGTCTTTGGATGCTGAATGATGTCAGGAGTGTAGGGGGAGTGCATTTCGCACATGTGTGGGTGATTGTTTTTACTTTTCCGTGGATGTTACAGGAAACTCGTTATCGGTGTTTGAGTGCGTGAAGGATACTTGCGAGCGAGCCGTAAGAGAGTCCGTTCAAACCTCGTGTTTTGGACCACTTCTCAATGGGAAAGCGTGCTGTGCTGATTTCAAGCTGTAGAGTAATTGAAATGAAAGCGGAGCTCTCCTTTCGTCGATTGATCACTGAAGACTACGCACACTAGTCTGACAACTATTCGCGTTGATAACACCGTCTCTTCACGCAAATATTGGCAGTTTCTTATGGGATTTTTCAGTGGAGTGAAAGGGTAAGCAAGACTCCGCCACATTTTACGCATAGAACGACGACAGTTGCTTATGGGATTTTCTCCTCATTAGAACTAAGAGTTACAGAGCCATCGTCAGGGCGAATTGTGCCATTGAAGATTGAACCTTGTACTGGCTAAAGAAAAATAGCCTGAAATTCTAGGATGTCACTTAAATTCTCGTAAATAAATAAACTGAATTGGTGAAATTTTACACAAATAAGATGTCATACTCACAATTTTTGATTTGATGTTAACGTTTAAAATAATATTTTGCAAAAAGAAAACAAACATTTGACAATTTTTTAGTAAGATACCAACTTTAACAATTGATCAGTTTTTAAAAATGAGGCATTTCATTCTCTATCATTTCACATTAAGCAAATTTAAATTTGTTGCAAGTCGAATGGTAATCCCATTTGAATTTGAATAACACGGTGTAGAAAAAGCAAAAAAATCTTCGCGCACATGAGGGTTAATTTTGCGCTATAACTGGTATAAACAACCAAATTGTTTACAAGCTTGTATACAACATTTTTTATTTATGCGATATTGCGCTGAAATGAACATGAAAATCGGATAAATTTTCGCCAAATGAGCATTGAGATTGACCGTCCGTGGATGTTTTTTTTTTCGTTATTGCCAGATCAGCTGTAATTACAGAAAACTAACAGACGATGCTTGTGACTAGCAATCATCATCAATGTGTAAAAACTGGTAATCTAAAATAACACAATAAAAATTTTGATGTATTTTCTGGCCTTAGTTGAAAGATACAACAATTAAACATTAATTTTACATGGCCGTTTTTAATAACAACAATAAATTTTAAATTAATTTGTGTTTTTACATGGAAGTCAAAAGTTCAACTTAAATTGACTTAATTCTTAACGAACAACAATATAAATTTAAATGCCATCCCTCTTTACATACACGGTTAGAAAAAAGTACCCAAAATTAAATTCTTTTCGCTCATCTCGGCACTGTAGTGCAGGAACCCAAAAGTAGGTAAAGCGGGTCAAAGTAATTTTCATTTACTTGTGTGCAATTCGTATGGAATTTTCCACTGGCTTTTTAACCAAAAGTATGTTAGTTGTACCCAAAAGTAGGTAAATATGATTATACTCAACGTTGGGTTTCCACACTTTACTACCCCTGTTGGGTGGTTTTGCTCCTCCGTTTTTGACAACATTAGAAGGAGAAAAGGAGACAAACTAGTCAAAAGTAGGTAAAAGTGAACTTTCCGTTGGATACTTTTTTCTTACCGTGTAGATTGGCAACTGACGGGAAGCAAACTGTCAACACGCCAAGAAACGATCACCCAAATATAGGTAATCGACCGGTGGTGTAGTGGTAAGCTTGACTGCTTTCTCAGCCCAATTCAATCCCAACGGAGGTCGGTGGGATTTTCTAAGGCATAAAAATCTCTGGTCATGCCTTCCTTCAGATGAGAATTAAAGCCGTTGGTTCCGGCCCATGTGTGCTGAATGGGTGCAATATTGTACGCAGTTATAGAAGCTGCCTTCCTGCACATTCGATTGTCGTCGATGGATGGCAATAGATGACCGTCGGTGATTGGCACTAGATTGCGCAACAGAGACCGACGTTAAATAAAGGAAAGAACAAGGAGAAAAAAAGAAGATTACACGGCCACTGAAAATAACTCATAGAGAGAGAGAGAGAGAGTCGGTTCTTGTGAGAGGTATGGAGAAATTTCTAAAAACTGCAGGAACTCAGCGCTGAGTACCTGCAGTTTTTAGAAATTTCTCATAAAACTGAGTAGAAGTGAATCTCTGTCTGAATTATTCTCATTTGCCGTGTACCCAGATTTGAGTTCACCAGAACGTGCTCGAACAACATGTGAAAAAGGCATACAAGCCAATCGTAAACAATGTATTTAAAGGTCGATTGTTCACGAATTACAACACACCCACACACACTAACGATACCATTTGATAGAGTAAACTTTCTCTCAGATCCTGGTGTCAGTTTGCGAGAATGAGTCTGGCACATAGTTGCTCTATAGTTACTAGCTTCTTCCATCATTCGTCAAAACAAAAAAGGTTAAAGTTGAGAGTTGATGAGTCGATTGGTAGGGTCCAGCCCTAATAAAAATAACCATAAAAGAAGTGTCCGGGTATCATCCAAATAATTTGTGGGATAGTTTATCCATCCGGGATACAGTTCGTTTATGGTATTTGTTCATTAGGGAGGTAGCATTGGTGCTCAGCACGGAAAACAAGATCAACGAAAAACAAATCAAGGAAAAAATAAAAAAATGAAATGAAATAATCTTAGTTTGCATGATTTTGTTCGCCATGGTAAATAATTTATAGACTAATTATTCAAAATACTGAGTAAAATTTTGCTCAATTGTGATTTTTTTTCGATAGCCTTGTTGATATTGAGCTGTAAACTGTTAAGCGCTTAATTCACAGTGTACTAGTCACCTTTCGTGTCACTAGGGGCGCCAGTGTCGGAGAAAATTGTGGCTTGAGCATAATTGGGTTCTTTAAAGGTTTTGAGGTAAATACATATTCGTAATCTGCATTAAAAATGGAGTCCAAACCCAAAATTTTATCAACTTTGATGCACTTGAACTATTTTAAATGAGTACGATTACATTTGCAAAAATCACCTTATTAGCACCCCTCGGTGTCACTTTGTATGGGAGCGAGCTATCAGTTTAGTGTCAAACAGTGAAGTTATTATTTTTCTTTAAATCTTGATTTAAAAATCGAAATGAAAGTGTGTGGACTCGAATTTTTTTTCGCTCTGCTTAGAAAACGAAGCCCTTTCAGATGATATATAAAAACCGATATAGGGAAATTTACGTATTCTCGGCAACCTAAGCAGCGACGTTCTTTCTATAGCCTTTTTCTCTAAGGAACGCACACATATGCAGTATTGGTTTGTTTACAATCTTTTGCTGCCAGCTGCTCTAACAATTTCAGTCGAAAGAATTGTCAAAAACTGTTTTGAAACGCTTTTACAAAGCTCCAATCTTCTCTAGTGAGACCGAGTATTGTCGGCAACCAGTTTTTCTTCGGCAACCGTTCCATTTAAACTGCATGTAAATTTGCTGTTCTATTATCGGCAACTCGAAATCAGCTACAATTTGTAGTGCGTGTGTTGCATTTCAAGAAAACCTTGCTAGATTGCTTTTTCTCAATGGTAAAAATATAGTCAAATTGAAGCTGAAAGCATAAAGAATCGTTTGTATGCATTCAGCGATGTGTTTTCGTAAGAAAATCCAGTGAAAATAGTGTTTCAATTTGGGTTGCCGAAAATAGTCTGTCATGCCGAAGCCGTCATTTCCCCTATTTTTCAAAATTGAAGAAAAAAAAAATAACGGTAAGGCACTGCACACCCAATTTTTGTTGCCGTAAACCAGCAAAATTTTGCTGGATTTTGCCGAGCTGGAAGTTCAGCAATCCGTCCAGCAAAATAATTTCGCTGGATGACCAGTAAAATGGTCTGTCAATAAAGTGACAGCATATTGCTGAAAAACCAGCAGAATTAGGAGGAGCAATTATTTTACAGCGGGAAGGATGATTTTTTTATGGTTTGGAATTCAATGTGTGCTACAATCATTCAAAATATCTTTATTTATTCTAAGCTAGTTATGTTTGGTATCATGTAAGTATTTGATACACCAATTCTGTTAATAGTTTCTATAAAATATGTAAACGCATCCCTGATCCAGTCATGTTGCGATTTTGTTTCGAGCTGCAAGATAAGTGAAAAAAAAATATATTTTATTCGGTTAAACGTTAAAAATGTTACACTTACTTGTCGGTGAATCAGAAAACATCATTTTCATGAGAAAAATAATGCTAGAATGTAGCAAATTTACTGCAAATATTGTAGTCAGCAATCAACCATTCTATGGGAGAATTTGAGTTTTCAAGCACTGACGTTTCATTTGACAGATTGAATACAATTTACTGAGTATCCAGCAAATTATTTCATATTGCTGGATGGTCGGTGAAATTTTGGTTTTGCTGGAACCAGTTCAGCAATTAATTTTGCTGGACCTAGAATCTAAATTTTGGTGTGTGTATTGCGATAGTGACAGCAGCTACCAAGGCGTGCTTGTCCCGATGTCAATCATACAAGGTCTGGAACAACAGGCAGCTTGCTGGTGTTAGAAGCAAAAATGTTGTAAGCATTGCTCAGCAAGCGAATAATATCCCGTTCACATTACAGCGTATATCACGTGATATACGGTGTCTTGCAATGAGCACTCATACATCTAGTTTTCAATGGAAATCCTATGTATGAGTGCTCATTGCAAGACAGCCTATATTACGTGATATACACCCCTATTCTGTATTTCGTTTCGAACGAAATTCTCATACAAAAAAATATTTTTTTGTATGAGAATTTCGTTCGAAACGAAATACAGAATAGGGGTGATAGACTGTAATGTGAACGGGGTATAACGATGTCACGGCAGCAAAACATTCCATATTGCGAATAGCAGACGTGTCGTCACTGAAAACAGCTGTTTCGTGTTAAAAGATAAACATTGCCATGAAATACGAATAAGCCGGTTAGGCCAGACCTTGTATAATTGACATCGTGCCTGTCCAAGGTCGTTCAGACCAAGGTGGCTACATATAGGTGTTCTAATGTGTCAAATTCATGATTCAGCCATGTTGGATTTTTGTATGGGACAGCGACCGAGTTTGTTTACAATTTGCTCTAAAACCGCACTTTTCCCCCCCGCGACCTCCTCGTCTATATAGTGACAAAGCTGTATCACCATTTATATACCCACCATGGTTCAGACTCGACTCGACTCTAGTCGACTTAGTTTTGAGTGATCCTGAACGACCGTGCACCTGTAATGAGCTTCATATCGAAGATCCAACACACTGTTTGAAACGTTTCAGCACATCTTCAAACCTGTTGCCTTGCTTATTTACGTTCGTGCGTGATTTTCATGATTGTCCTATCGTCACCGAAACGTTACGCTCCAGAGTACCAACAGTACAGCATAAATAGGACGTCAATCAGTGGAATGCGGCTGCCAGAAATTGTATACGCAGATCTGTTTATGTTTTTCGGCATTAATTTATTAATGAATTTTTAATAAATTATCTTTTATATGCCAATGGTATGCGTTCTTTTCCATTCATTATAAAATAATTGTAAAATTTAACTTGAATTTAGCATGCACCGGTAGAAAGGTTTTGTTTTTATATGTATTAAGTTGAAAGATTCATTTGAAAATTTGTATTCAACTTCTTGTTGCAACGGCAACTCTGGTGTCAAATATGGTTGCTGAAAACAAGAGAAAATTATTGCAAATGATGTAGTTTTTGTTAAAATGAGTGCTAATTTTTGCTTATTTCGACAATAACATTTGTGCAACGCGCTACGGGAATTGCAAAGAGTTGTGGAAATAAATTGAATTTTAGTGTGACCGTATCAGTGCATTGAAAATCTGTAATGTTTCGCTTGTTTTGATCGGTGTCGCGATCCAGGAGAAAATCGCATGAATGTTGATTGGGAGAGGCAGACAAAATCAAAATAATCCACAAGATTCGGTCGGAATGTCGCCTTTATGGACGGCAAGATATGACTATCAAGCCCAGGGTGAAGATGAGCTCTCTTTGCGTGTTGGGCAGATTGTCTTTGTCCTATCGAAGGACAGTAGTATATCTGGAGACGAGGGCTGGTGGACGGGTAAAATTGGTGACAGAGTTGGGATTTTCCCATCTAATTTCGTCACAAACGAAGATCCAGCAGTGCTAAATGTACAGCCAGTAGAGATAAAGTTTGAAGAACTCGATCTGAAGGAAGTGATCGGAGTTGGTGGTTTCAGTAAAGTTCACCGTGCCTTTTGGAATGGCGACGAGGTTGCTGTGAAGGCATCCCGGCAGGAAGAAAACATTGACGTGACTCGGGAAAATGTCCTGCAGGAAGCCAAACTTTTCTGGTCACTGAAGCATCCAAACATTGTTGCGCTGAAAGGAGTATGTTTGGATCACCGTATACTGTGCTTGGTGATGGAGTTTGCCCGAGGAGGATCGCTAAACCGGATACTAGCGGGTCGAAAAATTCCTCCGGATGTTTTGGTTGATTGGGCGGTGCAAATTGCTCGAGGAATGAAATATTTGCACTGCGAAGCACCAATTTCTGTCATTCACAGGGATCTGAAAAGCTCCAATGGTAAGTGATACGTACGATATAAAGTTGACTCGTGTTGTAAAATATTGAAATACAGATTTAATTGACAAAATATATTATCCAACGCCCATGCCTATCCTCGAAGAACATTCCCTTATGAATACACTTGACACAGAGAAAATTCCGGTCAATGTTGTAAAATGCGTTTCTTGAGCACGAGTATTACTATTGTAAATTTTTGAATGACCTAGTTTTACTAAACAATTTGTTTTCCTTTATACTTACTGCCACTATATTCGCATGACAGTTCCATGTGAGGAACCATTCATACATGACGCATAATATTTTTGACCAATTTTGGACCATTCCCCGCCTCCCTCACACAGAGTTCAGATTACCGAAGTCGTTAAAATTTTACTGGATTTTTTAACAGCTGAGTTTTCATTATTCAACTCAGTAGTTGTTACTTTAACTGAAAATTCCGTAAATCGCAAAATCCCTGAACTGTAAAAAAGCCGGTTTTAGTCAGTAATAGAATTTCTGTCTTTTACAGAAAAATATTTGTTTACATATTTTTATGCTGACTTTTTCAGTGTTTTATTGCAGTATTTTGATTAATAAATATTAATATATAAAAAATAAAGTATTTCAAATGTTCGACTATTTTTATTTGGGGACTGAGGTTAACTTGTTTAGAGGCGGTGTAGCAATGATGCTATTAACTTTAACTTTTCCTGCGTTAATCCAGATTGAGCGGTCAACGCTTCCTCGTGGTTTAGCCGGCTGTTTGCTTTCTTGGTGTGTCAGATTGCGTGCCTAAGTGTGGAGCTCTTCTACTGGCAATCGAATGCTCAATTCCGTGGCTGTTTCTGCACTCCTGCGTTGACTTTTTGACTGATTTTAATAAAATGTTCCAGTAAAACATAATCAGTACTGGAAACTCGGTGTTCTATTTTACTGAATTTTAGTCATTCGTAGATCGTAGAGCTGTTATTTTACGGTAAATTCAGTACTGACTATTACCGTATTTAGTATGTTTTGCTATAGGTACCTGGCTGGTCACAACTTCTCAAACCCCCTATGCTCCCTAATATCAATTCCACAGGACATACTGTCCATAATCGCATATTTGTCCCATCTTTTCTTGATTTCCTATCCATATAGGCAGTTATGCAATTATGGGCAGCGTGGGATTGTTATGTGAATAGCATATATATTGCCAATGCACGCATAGTTTATGAATTCTAACGAATTATAAATATTCTAACTGATTATAAAGTTTGCGAAAACATTATTTCTGAAATCGAAATGATTTCTGAGCCATGCAGATTTCAAATTAATCAACTGATGTATTACTTTTCCTTTTTTTCCATAACTACCGTGGAATTCTGCCCAGACACCATAGTATTCTCCTTGAACTCACAAGAAAATATTACTAATCGCGTACCTTGGAATTATCTTCGGAATGCCCTTGAAACTCTTCTAAGTATATCCTTGGAATCCTCCATAGAGTTCCTTTAATATTAACCTGAGAATTGAATTCCTTCGAAAATATTCTCAAAATGTTAATCAAAACCCTCCTCATGAATCCTAGTATGTGTAGACTCGACTAGACTCCTCAAGAATACTCCTGAAACTATTTCTTCTGCAATTATCCTCAGAAAATCCTTTAAATTCTGCTAGTAATTATCTTTGAATTCTCGCCAAAATTCTCTTCAAATTATTCTTAAAATGCACTTGCTATTCTCCTCACGATCCCCATTTAATTCTACTCAGAATATTTTAGGATTTCTCTTTGATGTTGTTTTCCGAATTATTCTAAGAATTACGTAGGAATTAAATTGAGAACTTTTGTTCTGCTGCTCAGAAGTTTCTTGAAATTCATCTCAGAATCATCTTTGATGTTTACCAGAATTGTGAAGTTATTCTTCTCAGCATTTCTTTTTAAATAACAGCTTAATTCCTTTTAAATTCTCCTAAAAAATCCATATGTAAGCTCTTCAGAATTCTATAGGTTTTTTAAAAAATTGCTGGAGACCTAAACATTCTTCCAAGTTGCAGAGTCTTCAAAACTTTCTAGGACCAAAATAATGATTTTTCTCTTTAAACCTGGGATCTTGTATATGTTTTTTAAATCCCGCAATTGAAGTATATTTTTTTTTCACATTAAAAAAATCCAATTCCTTTTTGTTTTCTGAATCTAAAATCGTAAAGTTTTTATAAATTATAAATAAACAAAACCATTTTTTTTTTTTGAGATTTGAACCGGGAAAAACCAGGCAAAAATTCACTGAGCCTGAGCATTCCTTTTACTCTTTCACGTAGGATTAGTTAAAATGTTATAAATTCAAGGTGAACATTGCATTTAGTCCTAAGTAGCGTCGACTTTCTCTTTGTATCCCCACGGCCATGTAAAGACATCCCCAGGTATTTTCAGCACACAGATTGGCAAAAGAAGCTTTTATCTAGCATCTAATACGATCAACACAACAAGAAAAGGTTATGTGCTCAAGTTATTAACGAAAGAGAAAGTCGACGAAGAGAATCGACCAATATTACTTATGATCTTATCGAAGACAACATATCAAAAAGACTGGCAACTCATCCATTTTCTCAAATGACCGGTATGAGACAGGCACTATCGCGTCATCTGCCCCTCAAAGGTAAATGCTCCGAACGAATTGAATCGCAAAGGTTCCATCCTCAGAAGAAAGGTTTGTGTATTTGCTCATTTTTCTATACGTTGCTTCCACCTTCGCTCTAGCGCAGCGCTACTGTGTCTGTCGCACGAATTCAGGAAAGTTGTTCAGCTTGGATTAACAATATAGAGATTGCTGAGGTTTATCGTACGCACACTACGTCATGTATACGTATCAGTGCTGAGATTTGTCATTGTCATTGACAGACTTTTGCGCGATATTGACAACATTGTTTTACACATAGTCAATGATAGACTTGATCCTCAAAAAAATCTTTGTCAAAATCTCATTCATTTTTTCGTCAATGACAAAGATTCACCAGGTAACAGAAAGTGTAATTTCTTGCATTCTGAGACATATTATTGTTATCCAAGCGGTTCAGGACGTAGATGCTTATTCACTTTAATGGCTCCATGTAATTGCTTTGCTCAAGCCATTTAATTTCATTTCAAATTTAGCTAATAAACAAATCAGCACATGTTCGTCACTGACAAAAATGCTACTGACAATTGACATGGTTTCCCTTGACGATGACTGTTAGCTCAAACGAGTGACCAAAGCAGAATTTTGAGTATCACCGTGTATTGTCGAACCGGACCGGGAATCGAACCCAGCCACCTCCAGCATGGTCTTGCTTCGTAGCTGTGCCTTTACGGACTGAGCTAAGGGAGGTCCTTGGCACTATTGGTACTACTGGTAAAATGTTCGTCAATTTTTTCTCATTTTTGAGGTTTTCCACAGGAAAGCATGAGGCAAATTTACTCATCGTTCCTGTACTTTCTGCGATACTGCGATGAGTAAACTAATCTCAAATTAGGGTTGTTTTCATTCGCCGTGCACATAAGCGTTAAAAGTCTACACGCTATTTGAAAACTACTCAAAATTGGGTAGAGTCTACATAGGTTTTCCAACGGCTTTACTTCCCTGATGAGAGATTTTATGCCTCAGAAAATCCCGACGGTGCCAACTGGGATTGTACCCAGGCTCTTGGGAGCGAGCGGCAATCCCGCTTACCACTACACCACTGTCACTTTTCTGATAGAACCCAACGTTGAGTTTTTTTTAACTTAATTTTAAGTGTTTTTTATACCGTGTATGCATTTCGATTACTTAAATTAGCTATAGTCGCTATATTTATAGTCTGGCGGATAGAATTTTGATCTATTAAAAAGCGTAACCAATTCAATATATTGTAGACCAACAATTGAAAAGGTACTATCAACTTTAATAAACAAAAAGTTGATTATTCTTTCCTCTCCTAAAAAAAAAAATAAACTCTAAAAACATTAACAATTATCAAAATATTACTTGCAATGGATAGATATCGAGTAAACTAGAAGGTTAAGTGTATTTTTCAACCGATTCGAGTATGAATATGGCAATAAATCTGGTTTTGAAAGTTGGTGCACAGGTAAAAAGTGAAATTACGTGACGCCACTGAATTCGCGTAAACCTAATATGAATCCCCTTACCCCTAGTATTACCATAGAGGTAACTCTAAGACCAGAAGGTCCCGAAGTAATGAACTCAACTTTTTGGCTCAGCTCTGGTACTATCTTCGGTCCCAAGCTAATCGATGCACCCCTCGAAACATAGGAAAATCCACGAACCCCTGATTTTATCTGTCAAACTTTCATAGCGAATCAAATCAAACATAGTGTAGTACTGGAATTTATACTAGAATGGGGTACGTTAATCGATTTGCTTGGGACCAATAGGCTAGTCAAGTAGTGAGCCAATTTAAAATCGATAGTTTCATATTGATTGTTGGTATTACTGTCGACGTAAGTAAGAAAAAATGTTTTCATAAGTTAATGGATTTATTATTTCCGATATTTGTGAATACTCTCTAGAATATTAAAAAAAAACTGCGATATATTCCCTACACCTACAAGCTTAATAAACATTATAAATAAAATGAATGTGATTAATGTCTTGACTAACCACAACAACGAGAGCAAATGTGCCATCCTTCGTGTCCTGCAGGCACCTTCAGTGGCGAGGAGTCATTGAAATTTAAATTAAATTAATACCGGTCGGAAGATTGTATAATCAGGTAATTGACGTACATAGAGCAATGGTCACTGTATTCCAACCAAAAAACCAAAATAAAAACTTAATAATATGCCGTGGAAGGCCAATCATACATTGCATATAGATTGCTGACGTTTATCGTACGCACACTACGTCACGTATACGTATAAGCAAAATGTTTTCATCGGGAAAAAAAAAACTTCATAGCGGAAATTTTTTCCGATGAAAACAAATCACTGACACAATCATACTTTAGCAATCTCTATACATACATACATACCTTCGTGTTTTGGAATTGCTGCTGACATTTTTCATTCAAGTACCCCTTGATTCATATCCATTTTTTTCGATGTTTTTTTTAGGCAAAACAAACTTAGCCTCTTGCTACCATCTCTAAAAACGTCATATTGAGGTATGGGAGCTGAGGCGTACTTTTTGAGATTTTTTTTCTTGAAAAATTTCGAAAATTTATGGATTAAAATATTGTTTGAGATTCTGCAGCTAGTAGATTTATGTTTTTTTTTTATCTCAGGTTTAGCGCACATTTTAAGATTCAACACCAACATTTCCAAATTCTGTCCCGTTCTAAAAAAACATTCAAAAATCCCAACCTTGGAAATGTATTCATGAACTGGAACTTTTCATAATACTATATGAATATTAATATTTTCGTATTTCTACTTTCAATTATTTCATATTCCTCGCAGGCATTGAAAAACTGATCAGAATTATTTTTACAGTTTATGGCTGATGAGCTGTTGCGATGGGTAATTTCCTTTCTTATGACAAATACGAGTATTTCGTTCACTGTGCAAAGTACTCAAGCACCACTACTTAGACTCTAAGTCTTAGAAGTTCGATATAAATAAAATATAAGGATGTTTAAAAAATTGTTGAGTGTATTCGAAGACAACTTATCAAGAAGACTGCTAGAATCCAAGCGAAAGATATAGTAGCGCTGCAGTTAGGCGTAGGTAGAGGTAGCGCATAGAAAAATGAACAAATACACAAACCTTTCTTCTGAGGTTGTAATCTTTGCAATTCGTTCGAAGCATTTACCTTTGAGTGACAGATGACGCAATCGTGCCTGTCTCAAAGCGGTCATATAAGAAATTGGAAGAGTTGCCAGTCTCCTTGATATGTTGTCTTTGGTGTATTCCTTATTTTTTGTGGGTATTTGAGTTGTAAATTCAATATTGTACCTTGCAAGATAATTGCGCATAACCGCCGAAGCACAACGAGGATAAAGGAGGAGGATAACACGCACCCAGAGCGTTTTATGTAGCATCGCTTATTCAAAATTGGGATTTATGTAACAGCTCTGAATTTGTTTTCTTCTTCTTCTTCTTCGCATTTCAAGCTTATTGCTTATCGAATATTAGCTTATTGCGTGCTCTCAACTTAGTGTTCTAGACAGGGCTCTACATTTTCGAAGCTCTAAAATTAACTCGATTTTTTTTTCTCTCATACAACGGTAGTATTGATTGTGAACATTATAGATTTGTCCGTAGTGCTGTGATAATTAATTGACAATTAAGTGTGAAATTGTGCTGTGTGCCGCAGAAGAATTGTTTCTTCGCGTGCCGCGTAGTGATTTTCGATTTGGATAAGTAGAAGAACAGCTGTCACTGCAGCTGATTCTCGTGTAATTAGCTTTTTATTTTCGCCGTGACGAGCTATTGGTATTCTTTAGCAAGCTGGGGCATTGTACATTTGTTTATTTATTTACTTGTCCCTCTGTAGTAGTAGTTGCAAATAGCGTCTCCGTTTATGTGTATTGGGTAAGCAGAGATGGGAGTGTGCGGTGGTTGCGATCAAGGTGACTACATATAGGTGTTATAATGTGTCAAATTCATGATTCAGCCATGTTGGATTTTTGTATGGGACAGCGACCGAGTTTGTATACAATTTGCTCTAAAACCGCACTTTCACCCCCCCCCCCCCACGACCTCCTCGCCTATATAGTGACAAAGCTGTATCACCATTTGTATACCCGCCATGGTTGCGATGTGACGGTTGTGGTGAGTGATTTACCGATTCTCTGTGTGGGTAAGTGTGCTCGTGTATTTCATTGCGAATGCATTACACTTACGAGAACCCAGGCAAAGCTTATCATGGACAATGCAAATCGACAGTGAGCATGCATAAGGGCCTATACGCGATGATCGATTCTCTTGGTCGATATTCTCTTTTGTTAATAACTCGTTAGATTTAACGTTTCTCGCTGCGTTTGTTGTTGCTTTTGATAGCCAATACAACCTATTACTACTCTGCATTGAACAAATTCTAGAAAAATGTTTCGCTTAGCTGTAGCAATGCAAAGAGAAAATCGATGAAGAGAATCGATCATCGCGTATTCGCCCTTATGCATGCTCACGGTCGAAATGTTCTGTTCATGTCTAGACTAACATTTGAAAGGGGCGTAAGAGCTAAAATGTAAACAAACCATATTTTTACACAAATAGAGACAACAGCTCACAAACTAATCGGTAAACACGAAAAAGTAGAAGAAAATATAATTTAAAAATCATCAAAAACGTTTCTTCTTACATGGCGTATTTCCAACATTCAACTCTATGATGCATCTGGTTGTTACGCCTTGCACCAGAACTACGAATTATATTGTTTTAATATGTCAAACGTACTGATTCTGTAGTATCTAGTCACACCTGATTCATTTGAAATGCATCCGATTGATATTTCACGTGTAAACAACGAACAAAAAGAAGACCAAAAAAATCTCCGGGCGTAATTGCACTCTCACAAAATTTACGAACGAAGAACCATGGCGGAACAACAAACAAAAATTCCCGAGGGTGTACTTCCATGTCGTATCACCAGTGTTGGCAGTTCAAAGAGTGGAAATCCGGGGGGTAACAACATGTAAGAAATTATCAGGGCGTATGATGTTTTCTTCTCAATTTCACGACAAAGAAAGCTTTTTATGAGTGTTTAGTGATGCATGATGATAGACTACACTATCAACTATATGTTAAGCTTATAAAATCAGCCATAAAATGGAAAGTCGTGAAATAGGATTAATTGTTAGGTCATCAAAATTCGGAAGCGATTTTCTCGATATGGTCCTTTTTGAATTACGCCCTTTTCAAATGTTAGTCTAGAAGTGTGATAACTGTCTATCAGATCAGAGTTGTGACTAGCAGAATAATCTGATCTCGCGTCAAAAGGATAGAGGAAGAGATGAAGAATGTATTTCAACTCTCGGACTCGAAATCACATTGCTGCTCAGATGGACATCGCGTTGAAGAGCGGGATGGCAGACATTAGCCGAAATGTAAAAGGTATTGATAAATTGATTTGTGAGAAATTGGACAATATGAAAAACTAATTTTTTTCAAATTACTGCGGAAAACAATTGACTGTAACGAATGACCAGCGCAGTGTATCTAGGGCGACTTAGTCGGAATCCGACCATAATACCGGACTCTAAGAACGTAAATTAGTAATTAGTAATAGTGATAATGATGATGAACAAATCAAGAAAAACGAAAATATTTGTTTTATCATACCTAAGACCTTTCTTTTTTGTCGCAGGCCTGTGATTGTCAAAATAAATCTCAGTTTAAAATTTCTTTAAGTTGGTCGCAGAATCTTATAAACATTATTCCGTACATTATACATTATTATGATTTTTGGCAAATTTTTCAAGGGTTCGAATTTTTTTCAATCCCTAGATTTTTGTTATTCTGTAATTTTGACTATGATGCTTCGAATCCTGTTCTAAATCTCTCATTTTTTGTATCTGTCATAAATCACAAAAAATACTAGGCTTTATAGAAACTATAAATTTTTATACGCAAATGATTTAGATTTTTTTACTGAATCTTATGTTTTTCAAGCCCATGATTTCTTTAAAAATCAAGCTATCGCTTATTCGGTCTAATAAACTTCGGAATATGGCAATCTGTCGCATTTTAATAACAACCCAATTTCATTACTTCATTATGATGGCTACCAAGCCTTTGGATTTTTTTCTTTTTTGGAGATTTGTATAGATTTTTCTCTTTTACTTTAATTAAATCACTTTACTTAATTATTTTACTTAAATCACAGAATCTGTGCTTAAATCTTTGGTTATTATTAGTTAGGTAGGTTCCGATTCTACAAGTTTTAGTTTCATTTTTCTACTTGTGATCTTGACATTTTTATCTAGGGGATGAATACTTAAGGGGGTTAGGTTTTTGATAAGTCTTTGGTGGGAATGACACTGATGAAGACTGCACATTGTAGTCAAAATACGTATGTTTCATAGGTACCAAAATTAGTTAAGTGGAATTAAATGGAAGATAAGGTAGCATTGCTGCTCAGCACGGAAAACAAGAAACCACCGGCGCCGCTGTCAGATTGTGTTAACGAATGAATATTGAACATTGTGGTTGTCATTAATTTATACACATATTTATACACCTAGTAACTAGCCTAGTTACCTTTAATTTTTTTAAACGCTACAATACTTACAATTTATATTGGCACAAGATTGAATTCACAAGTACGTAGTTTCATGTCATTTCAAGTTGTAGCAAACCTTGTTACGATTTAGTATGTACTTTCTTATGCTATCTGGGGACTTTACAATGACAAAACCATATTAAAGCAGTATTTTAACTCTATTCGTAATTTTAACCCGTAAGAAAGTGCATTGTAAAATATATTTCTTATTTTATTTTATTTCAATTTTTATCAAACATTTTATTAAAAAGACAAAAAAATCAGGCTGGCAATAATCAATAAATAATTTAAATAAATGTTTAACCGTGTAGCTTATTGTTAATGTGTCCTGTACAAACTGTTCAATTATTAGCTCTAACAGGTATTCTTAGATAAACCAACTATCTTGCTGTTTAAAATTCTGTTAATTGTGAACAACTGTGTCTTTAACAACATTAAATGCTATTTTTAATCGTTTTGGCTCTAGACAAATGAATCAATCAAATGTCGACTGAATTCCGCTATTAATAAACATCTTCAATTTTTATTTACAGTGCTCATATGTGACCCAATAACCGGTGGTCAGCTGAAAAACAAAATCCTTAAGATCACAGATTTCGGTCTTGCACGTGAGGCGTATACAACAACCAGAATGTCTGCGGCCGGTACCTTCGCGTGGATGCCACCGGAAGTTATCAGGTCAGGCACGTACTCGAAGTAAGTCAATAAGAAGGTCACATATTTTCGAAGTTTGTTCACCCATTCGTTTGTGAACTTATTTCAGAGCCTCGGATGTTTGGAGTTACGGTGTGCTTCTGTGGGAATTGCTAACCGGCGAGACGCCGTACAAAGGATTTGACTCACTATCGGTCGCTTACGGTGTAGCTGTCAACACACTAGCCCTGCCAATACCTAAGACCTGCCCAGAAGCGTGGGGAAAGCTAATGAAGTGTGAGTATCCTTCTTTATATTGTTGTGTCACAACTTGCTGGCTGTCCCCATCAACCTGGACTCTGTAGTAGCTGCGGAAAGGGAAATTGTTTTCCGTGCAATAAATCACCTTTTCTCCTTCTTTTCCGCATCACGTAATTAGCCTGCTGGGAATTGGATCCTCATCGGCGACCCTCGTTTAGGGATATCGAAAAAGATTTAGATATTATCGCACGTTCAGGATTTGCGCAAACACCTCACGAATCATTCCACATGATGCAGGATGGTTGGAAGAAGGAGATTGCCGAAGTTCTTCAAGAGCTGCGTAGAAAAGAGAAGGTTAGTTAGTGTGGTATTTATTTTCGTTCTTTCGTCCGTTCTGGGGTGGGCAATGCAAAAACTTTTCTCGTTAATCGATTGCCCAATAGATAAGTGTTGGATATTTTTCTTAATCACTGTGTTAAAGTGATAAGATTAGATTTGAATGTTACTGCATCGTTCATTTGTATTCCTCGTGCGTTTTGGATCAGTTTTATTTACACCCTGTTTATTTGTATTCTTTCTCATCTTCATTTGGCCGCCTTTCACTGTTTAGGCATTTAAGTCTTTTGAAGAGGTAAGATCCGATCTCCATACTCTATACAGATTGTTTGTCTTTTTCGAGTGGGCGTGTCCTTGTGTTTGTTTGATTTGGTTTTGTTTGAAAGATCATCATTATTGTTTTCTTTGTTTGTGCTTTTTTGCATAACAACATGTAGGGGAAAAGTTGGCTTCGGCAATACCTTAACCTATTATCGTCAGGGGGGTAAACAACTTCCTTGAGAGCTCAATTTTGGCATGTGGATACATTGTGTTTCAGAGCAACTATTGGTCAAATTTGAGTGCTCTAGGACTTTGTTTACCCCCTGACGATAATAGGTTAAGGTATTGCCGAAGCCAACTTTTCCCCTATTTTCCAGTGTTTGAAATAAGGAGTGTGTTCATGGAAAATCGCAACCGCTCCGTCAACCAAGATGACTGTTTCTCATTTTAAGTTGAGCGTTTGTGAACATTTTCAGCAAAATCGGTGATGATTTAGAGGTGCTTCAAGTAATTTTTTGTGATTTTTAGGTAATTTCTGGCTAATCATAGTTTTATCTCGAGCAGAGGTGGCCAAAAGTACATTTTTTTTCAAAATCATTTTCCACAGCGAAACAAAACAGCCAGGCCGTGTTTATGTACATTACAAGCGAACGGTGGAAATGGAGAATAGAACAAATGTGGCATATAATTTTTTTTTCAAACGGTCTATTGTAATTAAATTTTAGCTGCAAGCTTGCGTGTAACAGTAAATTATCAATTCCCTTATTTACGCACAATTTTAACATCTATGCTTATAAGTGGTTTGTATCTGAGCCGTCTTTACTACCCTTGGGGGTCTGATCTATTTTTTTTTATTGTGGAGCCTCCTGTTTGGTTTCAAATTCTACATTCCATGACATTTAAAACATAGTGATAAACTTTTTTAGTATGAAATTTTCTACCAACCTGATTTTATTCTAACAGTCATTAAATCTTACTAAACTAAATTCGTAGCCGACTTCTCATGCTTGCGAATTTGTCAATAAAAGTGTTGATACCAATTTTAATCAATATTTCGTAATAAATGATAACAACTCTGGTTCATAGTATGACTCAAATAATTTTACATTAATTTTAATTTTGAAGCTGACTGCTGTACGGAGCAGTTGGTGGTCATCATTGCGTTAAATATCATGATGATAATTCTCAAATTTGGAATAACCGATTTCAGTGCATATGCATGTCATTAATTATTTTGTACAGTTAATGAGTTCACGAAACATGTTCACATGTTGAGACAATTTTTAAAATGTCGAGGAAAGCAAATTTGTCAACACCAGATCAAAAAGGTAAACTCCGTTTTTTCAAGCTGCTCCCAAATTATTACAAAATCAAATAAATCAGCATAACAACTCATCTACTTTTAGTTTACAATTCAGGCTAACTATCAGCACGAGACGATTTTCTAGTGTTAGTGCATCGAAAAAACTTAGAACGAAACTTAAGTAAACGTAAAAATTACAGAATTCAGTTAAATGAAGATCACAAACTTCACCAACGTGGGTGTTTCAAGACCTGTAGGGCACCGATTACCAGTATCTTATTCTCATTCACTCGGTAGGTCTCCTGATCAAACCCTGAATCATTTATCAAGATCTTTAAACCTACCCGAAAGTCTAGAATTAATTGATGTCTTTAAGCCGTGGCCCCCCTTTAAACTTGGGCCATGGCTGTAGCCCACTTTCGCCCTACCGTTAATACGGCACTGGTTAGTATTCATTCTTATCTTTTAATTCCATGCAATAAATAGACATCAAATAAATGTAGTAATTAGCCAGTAATCTGCAAAATTCTACATGACATAAATATATGTCGCGTGGTTGGTTTTTCCATCAATGAATAACCTCGAAGGATAACTAAATGGCTAAGAGAATAATCATCACGTGAAATGTCGCGCGGTTGGTCTTATCTGCTTCTTTATGCGAAACTGTTCTGTAGCTGGCAGAAAACAGTTCAGAATTGTCACGATATTTTTTTCCGCTCGCCAGTTTGTTTTTGTGTGTCTTTACAAATCAATAAGCAAACAACTGTACTTGATACTGCCAGAGACGTTGATAGAGGCAAAGAAAATTTCTGTCAAAACAGCAGTACTGTTTTCGAGGGATCTTTTGGCAATGTCACTGGCAACCACGTTTCTTCGAGTGGCTTCAAATGACTTTCATACGGTGCCGCAATGCTGTTGAAAAAATTGAACGTTCGGCCGGAACTGAATAAAAGTGAAGTGCGCGGCAACATTTGCCATATATTACTGTTTTGCTTGCAGCGCAATCATTTTTATTACCATAAAAGTAAATAAAACGTTTCGATTCGAGATTGTTTGTTATCACTAATTAATGTTGTATTTAATTGAATCAATAATAAATAAATAACGGCGCCGGTGGTGTAATGGTAAGCGTGATTACCTCTCACCCCAGCAGGCCTGGGTTCAATCCCAGTCGGCGCCGCCGGGATGTTCTGAGGCATAACATCACTGATCACGCCTTCCTTCGGATGGGAAGTAAAGCCGTTGGTCCCCGGTTCATGAGTTGATGTGATGGGTCGATAGGTAGGGTCCAGGTGTGGGAGCTGCCTTCCTGGCACGTCGGTAGCATTGGTGCTCAGCACGGAAAACAAGATCGACGGAAAAAAACAAACCAAAGAAAAAAAAAATAATAATAAATAAATAAGTAACAGATATCAAATATTTCGTGTAAATAATTAAACACTTTTTTCATCACTAAGAACAATACTCCTCTCTGGTGAATTGAGCGAACAGTAATGTTTATTTACTTTGCTCATTTGGTTCAGCGTTTGACGGTTCGTTTGGTTCTTCTTGCTTCAGTCTATGCGTGTCTCTATTCAACGTCTCTTTATACTGCAAGCCGTGATGTCGCAGCTCGGAATATCAAGCTAACAAAACTACAAAACTCACCAGCTGTAAATCTCACACTGTGGTGAGATCGAGTTTCATGATTTTTGCTTAACACCCTAACGCAACCGAAACTGCCATCACGGCTGGCTGTAGTCGCTTCGTGTCTGTCATCAGTGAAAAAAAAAGAGATAGCATTATTATTGGCGTTGACGTGCCCGTCGAAAAATTATCTCTTCTAGAAAAGATTGACAGTTTCTAATAGGATTTTTCGGTGGAGTGAAAGGATAGTACGAAGTCCGCCATATTTCACGCACCGTCTGACGTTTGCTTATGGATTTTACCATAGGAGTAAAGAGCTACAAAATCGTCGTCAACACCAATACCTTCTCTTTCTAAGAAAACGAGGTGCCACGGAATCATTTTTGCGTCGATTAAACTCTCAGCTTCAACTTTATACGTTGTAAATAGTCTGGAAAAATCAAAGGAGCTTGTACAAGCAATATCAAGCACGCTATTTTGCTCCAATATCACGCGTGATATTGAGAGCGTATTAAACCGGAAAAATATCAATTTGATAATGATTATGCCATCACTGACTACGTTCAGTGTTCGGAAAATCATTCTCAAATCTCATTCATTGAGCCTCCTTGCGAATGCGGCAAAAAAAATTCACGCTTGAGATACTCATGCGTATTCACACACTCACACTCACACTCACAACGCCGAAAAATTATTCCAGCTTTATGCTCATACAAACCTCTCAAACGTCAATTGATAGCATGCTTATGCATGTTTTGTTAGTTTTCCAACCCCTGATGCAGAAACAATAGTAATAAAAATAAATATAGCCAAAATAAAAAGAAATTAATTTTTGAACCTGAACACTTATTGGTGATTAGGTGAAAAGTATCAAATGTCAAGGAAAACATATTAGAAACCAGTACTCGTGCCACCACTGATCTTGAGACTGGAACTACGAAAACTGCTGTAACAACTTGCATAAAAAAGCTCAGTGTAACTATTTAAGATGCTTTGAATTAATTTTAACTCAGTTTAACAATTGAACATTGAGCAATTTTACTGTAAATGTTCTATAAACTTTTCACTCATATGATACAAACATATTAGCGGTGCCGGTGGTGTAGTGTTAAGCGTGATTACCTTTCACCCCAGCAGGCCTGGGGTCAATTCCAGTCGGCGCCGCCGGGATGTTCTGAGGCATAACAATTCTGATCACGATTGATTTGTTTTCCGTGCTGAGCACCAATGCTACCGACGCCCGGGAGGCAGTTCTCACGCCTGGACCCTACCTTTCAACCCATCAACTCATGAACCAAGGTCCAACGGCTTTACTTCCCCTAAATCTGTGTTTTTGCCCAAAAAAATCTTTTCATCATAGTTTTTGTCCAGAAAATCTGTGATGATATCTGTGATGATAATTTTTAAATTTCCTTTGAAAAGTGATTCAGCCATTTTTCTGATAGAGACAAAAAATAGATAACAATATATGTATCATAAATTGCTTATGGTTTTGCAAAAAAGAATACCTCTGATAGTTCTCATTCTCCTTTTTAATTCCGCAAAAAAAAGCATGCTTAGATATACAGTCAAGATTCCTATAGTACGGTTAATAGGGACCGCACTATAGGAACCGGCATTAACGAATACACGTAGCATATGGGATTAGAGCTAATTGGGGACAAACTCTTATTGTAGGGTAATTTGAAGAGATAACTTCCTGGTGTCTTCTGAAAAGTTATTAAACAGAATATTTGCCACCTTTTGGGAACATTTAGCATCCGGAACGTCAAGAGCCTGATCCTCCGGAAGACTCGGAACATCCGTAAAAGTGGTCAATTCATGAATC